ACACTTATACCTTTGTGATAAGGATCGGTGATGAAAATATAAACGTAAATGCATAGATTCATGTGATTATTGACCACAAATACTGATAATGCAATGAGAAAAATTACTTATACCCACAAATCACTTATACTGATACAGCGATTCCAAAAAAAAACTTCCAAATCTTTTAATACTTCAAATATTCGATACTTCCAATCGTTCGGGTTAATTTCGAATGCGTACATCAGTTGTTGATATGATAAGATGAAGGGAAATTGTAATTGAGAGTACAGTACGAGCATAGTACAGGCCGTGAAGGATTTGATCAATGATATCGAATGTTGAAGTAATATGGTGATGCAGTTACTGATGATAAGATGAGTGATAACAGAGGTGTATATTTGTGCTTACGAGCGATGAGGTGATAAGAGAATATAAGCTTAATATAAGTGTTCAGTCTTATGTGCGAATGAAAATTTTTTTTAAAATTGCGTTTTCAATAAAATTTATTGGACAAGTATCGACAGCGAAACAATTTGATCTACAGCTAGAAGAATGGCTGAAAAATATGGGTGTCTGCACTCTTTTCACGTCATCACATCGTAATTATTGATAAGAGGAAATGAAGGAAGCGGAAATCTTCTCAGCAAGCATTAGAAAGACTGATCGTACTTCCAAAATTGCCAACGGCTAGAAATGAGCAGTTTGTTGTGGCTACGAAAAATGCCTCGAGTACGGAAGTTATTCGACGTGCTATTGCGAAGTGAACCTGATCAGTGGACTGGCAAGGAGAATATAAAATGATAAAAATGGGCGATAAGATCGTATCGGTGCGGTTTTAATACTGACAAAAATTTGTGTTCGCACGTGAACGACAGATAATCAGTGAGGCGACTGATATAAGAATGATAAGAGATTTTTGGTACAGAGTCCACACAGTGTCATATATCAACGAATGCTTATTATCACTGATGAACGGCAACCTGGCACATGATTATATATGACGAAATGGCGAGTGGTTCAAAGATCACCTTTTAACTAATCATTAATTTGCATCACACTGATTGTTAATACCTTCTCAATTTAGTCTATTACAATTCAACTGGAAACAGAATCAAAGATTGCCAAACAAAATTCCGAAACGATAAAAGTTTAGATTTACCATTTCATGTGTTTCTTGCATGCTGCAATTTTTTTCTAGCATCAGTCTGTGTTGATGTCTTAACAAAGGATTGAAAGGGCGACGGAAAATCCAGTAAATGCTGAACAATTGAGCCATTATAAATTACTAGCCCGGAAGTGTTTTGATGATGAGTATTTTCCATTACCAATTCGCACATATTCTTTTAGGCAGCATAACAATGTAATTGTCTTCGTTTCTGTTAGTATTTATTATGAAATATTTGCCTAATTGGCGTTTTCTTTAAATATAAAGCAACGGGTTGTAAATATAAAGCAATATAAAGGATTGTGAATGCCAATCACGAGAAAATTTGTATTTTTATCCAAATCTACAACTATTTAAATAAGTTGAAATATACATGGTCGTTTAAATAAGGTTGTTTATTTATTAATAATGTTCATTCAGCTGGCATTGGGTTTGTTAGTTTTAGAGTTGCACCTATTAACAGACGACAGAACGGTGCAAGTGCAGAGCGATTACTCGGTTTCCAGACGGATCGTCACCAAGTTGCACAGCTTATCAAGTGTAATCAGAGAAACACCCATTTCATCGATTGATTGATCTTCATCAGTCATCAGTGTA